AAAAAACTCAAATATCGGCCCGATATATCGGCCGGCCGATGTATTGGTCTATCCTTATTCTGCATGCTCAAAAAATATGCATATTGACCTGAATGTAACATTACTTAGTAATACTAACACAATGTAGGGTCCAACTTTACACTTGTAAAGATTACATAAACGTCCCCTGTTTTTTAAGCAGCTCGACGTGCTCCGGTGGTAACTCAATTCACATCGACTGTAAATGCAAATAACGTTGGTCTTGTCGAGAGAACCATCAGGCAGGGCTGTGAAGCTGAACTTGTCATCAAAAGATGCCTTTCTTTATCAATTTCTGCCCACAGAGGTTTTTTTCTGCTTGCCATCCACGTTACTGCTGCATTGCTTCCTGATTTCCCAAACTACATGGTGGGCCGAGGGTCATTATTACAGAAGAACCGCACGTCAAAAAAATCAGTAGCATTAAAAAGAATTTGTGTTATCTTGTTATTAACACGTTAACTTTGACAACTCTAGTTATTTCTTCTTCTTACATTCTTTCAAAGCTGTGGAAGAAAATGTGGGTTTCAAAGCGAACCAATGAGGATATCTGAACCCTCTCCATGGATGCCTGTGCTTTATGATTTACAGCTAATGATGTTTGTGTGAGAGCAATATCCCTAAAATAATTCAGTCATTTGTTTTAGTGATGGAGGCTCAGTGGAGAACCATGAGTGTATTATGGTCTTTATCGTGGCAGTTAACCCTGCAAATACGATTTTCCTAAAGGTTGGCCTGCTGTTGTTATTGAGGGCGGATTTTGCAACCTTTTTGTATATTGTTTAATGACTGAGTCAAATCGAACCATACTCCTAGTGCATTGCTGCAAATGCCTATAAAAAGTCGTTTACAAGTATGGATTATAATGTTTGTTTACTTACATACTACAGCAGTGACCTCAAACTCTTCCCCTCTTCTTCCCTCTCCGCAGTGTGGCTGTCACCCGTTCCCAGGACGTCCCCTCCTTTGGCCCACCAATCCCCAAGGGCGTGACCTTTCCCAAGTCCACTGTCTTCAGGGACTTCCTGTTGAGCAAAGTCATCAACGCCGAGAACGCAGCCCACAAGTCCGATAAGTTTGGTGCCATGGCAACACGCACACGGCAGGAGTATTTGCGGGACTTGGCAGAGCGTCATGTGACCAGTACTCCAGTAGAACCCACTGGGAAGTTCCCCTTCATCTCTCTGGCGCACAAACGACGAGAGAAGGTGCGTCCGTACAGCGGGGCGGAGCTTCGGAGCCTGGGGGCTGTGACGTGGCAGGTTCACGCTGAAGATCAGGTAGCTGGCGCTGAACGTGAATGCCTGTTGGCCATTTCAAATGACTTCATCATCCTGTTGGATCAGGAGGCCAAAGCGGTCGTGTTTAACTGCGCCACGCGTGACGTGATTGGTTGGTCGACGGGGAGCCCCGCCTCCATGAAGATCTACTACGAGCGTGGTGAGAGTGTGTCACTGCGCTCCATCAATAACAACACAGAAGACTTTGGAGAGGTTGTCAAGAGACTGGAGGTCAGTGGGGCACCACTACTGTCTATGACAGTACATCTCATTAGCACACACCATCTGCTGCAGCTATCAGAGGTTACACTGAGCCCAACACCACGTCTCTGACAAACAGCTTGTAATGAACACACACAGTCCTTGTACCTCTCACTATGCATATTACTTTTATCATTATATGTACATTTTAGATTAGTTGTCTGCAAAGCTTATCCACGAAAGATAACAATGATTAAAGCCACATCCACACTGATATGTTTTCGTTTTACAGATCCAGTGGGTAGGATTTAGGGGAATCTATTGGCAGAAATGGTATTTAATATCCTTAACTATGTTTTCATTAGTTTATAATAACCTAAAAATAAGAAGGGCTGTGTTTTCACTACCTTAGAGTGAGTCATTTATATCTATATGGAGCAGGTCCTCTCTCTCACAGAGTCCGCCATGTTCTTACAGTAGCCCAGAACAGACAAATCAGACACTGGTTCTAGACAGTGCCATTCGCATTTGACACATGGGCTTCAGCTCTGCAACATCACCACCAGACGCAAGTGAATCCTACATACTGGACCTTTTAAATGGCGTTTTAAAACAAAAACAATCACCGTACAGGCAAGTGTCTTTAGAACTGTTTCAGAAATCATCTCAATCCATACTAACGCTCCTTAAAATGCATCTCACATGACCATTTACCTACATTGGGCATGCCTGCACTGGTGTAAACATGAAGCAGATTGCCTGCTCTGCAGTTTGTTGCAGAGTAAAAACAGATAAAGTTACAGAAGAAATTATGGAGTTGGTGTAAAGTAAGACCAGAGATTTCATTGCGTGAACTAACAACAATGTGGAAGCTGTCATTGGAAGTAACATCAGGCAGTCAAGGAGGCGGAAAACAGATTGGGAGTCATTACAAAGCAAATACAGCGCTTATTAGAGTGGTATTGGGAGCATTATCCATTGCGTTGGGAAGCTGTTACACCAAAATCTGTAACCCAGAGCCAGACTCCCCTAAAAAACAATTGAGTGACAGTTGTTGAGTGGTTAGGGGGTTTTTGGGGCTGGGATGTGGACTCTTGATGGTCACAGAATTTGGTGTAACAAAAGCAATGACAATAAGAAAGGAAATGTTACCCACACAAGAAGGGTGAAAACACAAAAGTGACCCAATCGGGAAGTAATGGGTGGGTGGGTCATTGTTTTAAAATGTCTCTCTTTCAGCCCATCCAGACTAAAACGCAACCCCAGTAGTTTTCAACTCCAAGGGGGTCAGCAGTGTTTTTCTGAGGTCACTGTTTTAGGGGATCCAAAATGCTGCAGCAGACACCAGGCATAAATGTAGCATTAGTGAAGTGTTTTAAAACAAAAACGTATCTCAGTCAGGACCACTTAGTCAAAGAAAACTTAATTTCCATTTGCAGTAATACATTTGGTGGTATGGCTCCGTTCTGGGGCCTCTCTACTTTTCCTAGAGCTACACAGAGAATCTCTTGTACGCGCCTTTGTGGAAAGCCTAAGACAGGGAGAGCACACCTCTCTGCCCTTCCATGCGCCTACACAGAAAGCCTAAGGCAGAGAGAGCAGCAGCAAAGACCCCTGGGAACAGAACAGAGCAGCATCAATGACAAACAGAAATGACACTGATAAGTCAGACACAGCATGAAAAGGAGGAGCTGGGGTGGAGGAAAAGGAAGCAGCAACAGTAGATAGACCAGAGCAGTTTAAATAAGGCACCCTGGATGAAATTCGCCAATTGGTTGCATAGAAAGGAATCATGTGATCTATCAGTCAGCTGCTCCATCAGTTGATCGGGCTGTTTGAGGTCAGCTGATGTAGCTGGGATGTGAGCTGAGCTTGACATCATGTCCTGCCTAAACTAAAGCTATGCTCAATTAGTTTGGCTGTAGCCTAACACAACAGAACAAACATGGATTTCTAAACCAACCAGTTTCAATTAGGGCAAAGGTCAGGTTCTTTTTGAATATCCCTGCAGCCATTAAACAGGTATGTAGGCAAAAAGTGTGAGGGCAAGTCATACCCTCTGTCTCTTGACAACAGTCGTACATAGAAATAAGAACTAAGTATTGTTGATGTTATTATAGCAACATAAGGGCGTAGCCTGAAATTATACAGTCACCAAAAAGCCACAGCTGTTGTGTTGACCCTATGATTATAAGTCATGCTGAGCACAATACATAGTAATTTGGTGATATGATATCATTACTGAGGTTTTCAATGTGGTGTAGGTATGGCAGTGCTTTTTGATGGGGCGAATCACTCTGCTGATGCTGCAGTTCTATTAGATGGTAAACAAAGTAAAGATTTATTGTTGGGTGCTACCAGTACTGGCACGTGCCTTTCTTTGTAAAGCAGGAATGTGTGTTTTTTCATGGCCTTTGTTGTGGGCATCATGACATGTAGCTAACTGGAACTGTGATTCGCTCCTGGGCTGCACTAACTACTATTTACTTCTCAGATAACTTCCCACAGGTAGAGGAAGAACTAGACAGTGTGCCTAATGGTAGGCAGTTATCATGGGAGTGAGCAGAATAATTTAAATCAAACTGTTGAGTATTCATAGTATGTGACTGAAATATGTACCTCAGCTGGGGTGAGATTAGAGCTAGTGTCAGATGCATCTTTAAAAGATGTGGTTGCTTTGAAGACAGTATATTAGTTTACCTGCAAAAGACTGAAGGGTTTCTTAAGAAATTGTTTTAAACATTATGAATGTCTTCTGCTCTTTTTCTCTTCCTCACTCTATCTGTCCTGTAGCTGTTGACCAAGGGCAGTCAGACCACAGAGATGACCCTGCGCCGTAACGCCCTGGGCCAGCTGGGCTTTCATGTCAACTTTGAGGGCATCGTTGCAGAGGTGGAGCCATATGGCTATGCTTGGCAGGCTGGGCTCAGGCAGGGCAGCCGATTGGTGGAGATTTGCAAGGTGTCGGTGGCCTCGCTGTCCCATGAGCAGATGATCGACCTGCTCAGAACCTCTGTTACTGTCAAGGTGGTTATCATCCCCCCACATGAGGACTCCACACCACGCAGGTAAAGTGGATATAGATGATCTATAAATGCAAGAGAAACTTTGCTTAAAAGATCACTGCATCCTAGGGGTGTAACAGTTCACAAAAGTCACAGTTCGGTTTGGTACAACACATTTGTGTCAAGGTCGGTACAAATTTAGATACAACAAAAAAGTATAAATTCCAGAAAAATGTCGCTGAATAAAAAAAATTAAGTTATTAAAACTAACTTTTTGACTTTGAACAATGGAGCTGAGTGACACATATTGTCTTCTTAGCAGCATATAAAACAGAATTCCTTGTTTTCACATTTTTAAAAGTTTTAAAACTAACATCATATTTTGGGCTTTATTTTTTTTCTTTAAAGCAGGAATTACAGTCTGGCTAAAATGAGCTCATGAAGGCATACTGTAATGGGGCTCAATTGCATTTAACATATTCGTAAAGCCTGCGCTTTCCGATACAAAGAAGGTTTCATATCTGCGCCTATCCATGTAATGTTGCCAAAGGCTGCAGCGATTTCTTTTTCCGTGTTTGAATCAGTTAGGAATGGTGCTAAACAGTGCTCCCACCTGTTGGCACACTGGGGTGATGTCAGTGTAAATGAGTTGACATCTTTTAAGTATTTCCCACTGATGTAACCTACTGGCATGTAGCAGATACAAGATACCATTGTTTTTCGTCTACCACTCTCAGGCCATTGCCCTCGTAATTCAAAGCAAAACCAAAGTGCCAGACCTGTAGGTTATTGGAGAATCTTTCACTGTGTGTCTCACTGGAGTACAATGGTTTGGGGATGGGAGGGGCAGACGGCATGTTACCTGTCACATTGTGTGTGCTGCCTTGTTGAGCACAGTGACACTAAGAACATTATGTTCCATACAAGCTGTATATGTTATTTTCCAAATGTAATAGGATTACTTCAAAGCAATACAATATGGTTCAATACAAGTACGTGTAGAGTTACACCCCTGCTTCACCCACAAAATGCTTGCATGCCTCCACAGTTAACAAAGACTCCTAAAACTGAGAAAATTGTTGATAAATTGGAGTAAAAGGGCTCCAGGTTTAACAACAGCAAAACCATATAAAAACATCAGTTTACAAACTCTCACACTACTCAGGCAGCATAATTTAAGTCTCATTTATCCAGTTGTATGCTCAGTACTTCCCAAACAAAACACCATTTAAAACACGTTTGCATTTAAGTAGCGTGCATAGGCAAGCTGCTTTTCCTCGAACAGAGTTCAAACGCACGAGCTTGCCCAGGTGTGCTACTCGTCCATGTCTGAGACTGTTTATGCATAAGTTTAGAGATAATGCATGTGTTTAGAGGTACTGAGCATACAACTGGATAAAAGAGACTTGGATTATAATACAGGAGTTGTGTGAGAGTTTGTAGGCAGATGTTTTGATTTAGTTTTGCTGTCGTTCAACACGATCCCCTATGACCTCAGTTCTTCAGTTTTCTCCCTTTTTGGATTCTTCGCTCACCATGTAGGCATGCAAGAAAAACTTTCCAAATTCAGTGTAACATAGGGTGAGTAATCGACATACAGATGCTCATTTTGTGGGTGAAGTATTTCTGTAATGCAGTTGTCTGTGTTTTTTTGAGGCTGTGTCCCGTTCTGACTGTGAACTCTTCATCTGTCAACAGAGGCTGCTCGGAAATCTACCACATGCCACTGGTGGATTACAAGAACCACAAAGAGGGCATGCCCTACGAGTTAAAGTTCCCGTTCCGCCCCACCAATAACAACAACACCAAGTGGCCACGCACCTCCTCCAGCCCTCAAACACGCGCTGCTGGCACAGCCGGGACGCTGATCAAGGCCCAGCCTTCAGACTTCAGTGACCGTAACTCTGCTGCTATTCCCCGAAGTGTTTCCAGCGACGGGCGACCCATCAACCCCAAAAGGTCACAAGATAAATATAATGCTTGTATGAAATTTGCAGACACACTGAGCACAAAGCTGTCTGGCTGCAGTACACACACACACACACACACACACACACACACACATACATACACACACACAAATCACCAATAAAAGCTTCTAAACACAACTGAACATGTTCCAGCAGGAATAGGCTCCGAAATCAGGGAGAAATTAATGACATCATTGGCCAAGATTACTGGTTTTCCTGATGTTACCCTGTAGCTACATGTAGCAGTGTGCTAGCATTTGGAGAATGACTGTGATGAAGTGTAGCGACACTTTCTCCCATTAAAAATCACCCAAAAATAAGCTTCAGAGCACAGCTAGACATGCTCCAGCAGGAAATTTGATCTGAAATCAGGGAGAAATTAAAAACATCAGCAACCAAGTTTTTATGTTTCCCTGATGTTAGCATGTAGCTACATGTAGCAGTGTACTGGCAGCAGGGGAATGACTGTGTATAGACACACGTCTCTTATAAAAATCACCAACAAAAGCTTCAAAACACAACTAGACATGTCCCAGCAGGAATATGATCATGAAATCGGGGAGATATTTAAAACATTGGCAGCCAGGTTTCCCTGATGTTAGCATGTAGCCTCATGTAGCAGTGCAGGCTACCTAATAAAAAACACAGTAACATGCCTGGAGCAGATGTAAAGAAATCTGTCACAATCTGATGTTATCTTGTTGCCACACACAGTCTAAAGCCTGATGTTTGTGCTCACTGGGATTACTTTTACCTTGTTATTTGGAACTTTGACAGTGTTTCATATGAATATCCAACGTTGTAACTTTAAATATATGACAAAAGTTAAGGAAAAGCACAAATACTTCTCTTTAGTGACATACTTACGTGTCGCCACAGGTATTCACCAGGGAACGACAACTACGCTCTTGCCTGCTCCATTGTGATGGGCCGCACAATGCACAACACAAACTCCCCCTCCAGCCTGCCCTACACAGACACCATGAGCTCCAACCAGTGGAGGCAAAAGTCTATGCCTGATGGGTAAGTTCTTCTGTCCCCAACTGTGGATTACATGTGCTAAATGTCCTGCTGCACTACCTGGCAGCATAGGTGACCTTCCTCATCTCCCCTGTAGGTTTAATAACAACAACTGCCAGTCCCCGGTGCAGTCTGTGCGGCAGGTGGCAGGTGACGGGGTCAATGGGATTAAAGCGTGCTCCAGTTCGGGTGTTGGATGGTCCCGACCCGGGGAAGGTGACAAAACTAGTGCAGGTAAGACGGAACTCCGAACTCTGGGCAATAGCATTGAGTAATAACTCTTACTGTGCTAACACTCGTCTACAGACCTCATTACCCATAAGTCGTTGCTTCCCACAGAGACGGTTTCCAAGGCGGTGATTCCTCGACTCCAGCCGTCAGAGCAGGGCAGCAGCATGTCTCCTAACAAAGGCACTAAGGTGAGCTGGAATCAACAAGCACCATACTGTAGATAATTTCCTTACTCCTATGTGATGGCAGGTTAGGAGTTGATAAAGATGACACTGTGGTAACCAACGGGCTGCTGTTTAATCGCCGGTAATGATTATGTGCCTTTGAGTAAGAGCTAGAAACACGTGAACACCAAACTACACAGTGGACAGTCTTAAGGCCCAGACACATTGAGTCGCGTCACGTCGCCTGTATCTCAGCCAAAATGCTTCACCTGAACACAATGCAAAGACTACAGCCATTGGCCAACTAGCATGAATGTTTTGTGCCTGGGTAACAGGAAATCATTCTTCATAGCAGCAGGCCACGGTAGTCTGAATTCCTCAATCAAAAAGGGAAACTGGTAGACCGACAGGATGGATTAAAGACGCTAGTTAGCCAGTTAGCACATAACTAGCACAACATCATGTTAAAAGAACAAATGATATTTACTGTGTGCTAGCTAACAATAACACATACAAATTACAGCAGTTTCTGCTAAAGAGCTCATGGCTAAAAAAATAAAATGACCTCATGTAATAAGTTTGTTACAAACTCATGCCCTCTTGACTTTAGCCGTTTTGTTTACTTTCCTCACTTCCATTTCTATTCTTCTGTACTGAACTGAACTGCTGATCAGATATTTCACACATCTGCCTCAACTGTCTCTGACAAATACTCAATATACTGAATTGGCCAAAAAAAAGCAGACAGGCCAAAAATAAGCAGACAAGGGCTGACTAGTGACAGGGTTGCAGGAAATACTGCCAAAACTAGGGCAACAGATGCTCACCGACAGCCCGACATTGACCGACTGTCGGCTTGGTGTGTCACTGCCATTTGAATAATCACAGTAGAGTGAGTTTGCAATATCATTATGGGTGAAAATGTGCGCTATGTGCTGTAAATAATTGCAATATACAGTATATTAAGTGAAAGATCTTCTAACTCAAGCCTCATTACACACCTTATAGTGTTTGTTTAAGTGTGGGGAAATACATATAAAACAAATACCATTTCAGTGTTCATACTTCAAGAGAGCCATGAGAACTGTGAACAAAACCTCATAAGGAGAACCAACAAGCTCATCATTTATTAAAGTAATGACTCTGAAATTTGAAGATTTGCTCAACTTTGAAACAGCTCAAATTATGTACAGAGCAAAAAAAACAAAACAATTATTACCCGAAAGTATCCAAAAGTTGTTTCAACTACGGTAGGTGTTATAAGCTGTAGCTTCAGCCTACACCTTTTTTTCAGACTGCAGAAGTGTCTAAGTTATGTTAAATTACTTGTAATGTTTTGCACTGTACTATTTAAGTATCTGCCATTTTGTATGAGACGCTGTGACTTTATTTACATGAATTTGTGGATTAATACATCATGTTCTTGTAATTGGTTTCACTTTGAAAACGCTCATTTGATTTCTCATCTCTGAATAGGGGGACGCTCCATATTCATCCAGCCAGTCGAGTAGCAACACGCTCTCCAGCAACGCCTCCAGCTCCGCCCACAGCGACGAGAAGTGGTACGAGGTCGGCTCACGTTCAGGAGTGCGGAGCGATCTGGAGCTCAACGGCTATCTTCAGGGTGCTTCCACTGACAGTGGCATAGATGCCACCTCCTTCACCGCCACACAAAGCAGCACAGCTTCCTCCACCGGTGCCTTCAGGGCCAAAGACAAAATCCCATGGCAGGATGACTCGGCGGGCAGCCAGAGAGCCTCGGACTCCTCACCGCCGACACCAGACTCTCTCGTCGCCATTGGAGGCAGCGAGATCCCAGCCAAGAGTCCAACAGCCTTTCCACTAGTACCTGATAGCGGCTCGTACAGCCTGAGTGACGCCGCCTCCCACTCCAGGTGTGCTGCTGTTCTGTTTGAGTCAGCTGAGGAATTTGTGGCTTCGCATCAATGTTTCATTAAACAGACAGTGATTCATTGTAGTCCAGATATATCCTGCACCATCCCAGATGGAAAAGTCCAAAGCTCTGCAGTTTGGCGTTAACAAAGGGAGAGAGGAAGAATGAAATAACTCTGCCTGTGTGTGTGTGTCTGTGTGTGTGTGTGTGTGTGTGTGTGTGGTTTTGCATTTGTATGTATCTCCGTCTCCCGGTATCCATGATAGAAAGGAAGTGCTTGAAGTTGCAAGAAATGCAGACTGTGAGCTCAGCACTGTTCCCCCTCTTCTAAATCCCACTTCCTTTTGAATCAACTAAAGCTTTCCTCTCTCCTCTTCACTCAGCCAGAAATAACTCAGCTCCACCAGACCTGTACATTGGCAGCTTTGTTTTATAGTATGCGCAGTGCACGCACATGCGCGCCTGCACCCAGACACAAAAGTTGCTGTTTGAAAATTCCAGCTTTTATGTCAAACTACGGCGGAATGTTATTTGAAGTTGCTGGAAATGAAGCAAGGACACTGTGTCCTATTTTTTTATCTATAAAATCATCAATCGGTCCCATCTGCAGAGACAGTGGGGACTGTGGTGATGGAACAGGTTAACTAATGAGTTTAAGAGAGTCTGTTTATGTTCTGTTTATGTATGCGTAAATATTTTAAACTAGAAGAAAAGTAGCCATCTGGGAGGATTCATTGGTGCTTCATCAATCATGCCAATTGAACCAAGGCCAAATAAAATGAAACCCTGACATGACTACGACTGTACAGCCAGCCATTTAATCTGCTCTTGCTGCTTGTATGGATTATAATCACATGAATATCAAAGTGACGCCCTTCTTCACCCACTCATATGTCTCACCTGCCTCCCCTCTTCTCCAGCACACTCAGTTCTGGCCACTCAGGGAGTCCGATGGGCCAGGGGCAAGACGAGGCATCTGCTGCGGCCACCTCACCCACATCACCGGGGACCAAGAGCTTCTACCCGCGTCAAGGAGCGACTTCAAAGTACCTGATTGGCTGGAGGAAACCCGGGGGGACCGTCAACTCTGTGGACTTTGGCAGTACTCGCAAGTAAGATAGGAACTGTGTCTCCTGCAGTGAAAAGAGAAGTTGAGATTCAGTGTTGAAATGCGTCCTGCTGTCAGCGATGTTGATGTTTGAGACACCGGGGAAGGGAATGAATGTCTTGTTATAGTTTGCCACATTGACTGCTCGCCTAGTACTGTTTTTTTTTTATGTGGCCAACACTGCCACCATGTGGTGTAGCTGAGGTTGAAACTTCTTATTTTTAAACAAAATCTTTTGGTTCCCAGAGATGGGTGACTAAACATAATTGGTCTTTTTCATTCATTCATGGCAGCATATGAGTCACTGTATCACAAGGGTGATTGCATCATTTGTGGTTGATGGCAGCTGCTGTTTTCACACTGTACAGCTGCTCAGCAAACCACAGTTACTCCTGGTGGAGCAGTTAAGTGGTTACGAGTCTTGTCATTGGCATGTTAACATCACAGAGAGTAGTTGCAGATCCTTATCATTTACCTCAGCGTTTGAACTGCTGACCTTAAATCACAGACATGCTTTTCAAGTTCTTGGCTGCCACCTCTATAACCTTTGCCTGATTTGCTATATAATGTGTGTTATTTCGACTTTAGGAGTCTCTCTGTGTTGAATCTTGTTTTTATCTTCAGAAGGCATCAGAGTGACGGTCTGCTGGGAGGTCAGCCGCAGCTCAGGGCCAATCTCCGGGGCTCCCAGTCGCCCCAGCGGCACACTGCCAAGTCCAGCCTGGAAGAAGACTTGAAGAAGCTCATCACACTCGACAGCCCTCCACCCACTACAAGTGAAGAGAAGGTACTGAGAAAGGATAGAGATTCCTCATCAGGGGTACTTGTACCTGTGGGGTTACTTCTCAGAATTTGCACCGTTGTTTATACCGCAGACACTGTGATGTCCAAGGCAAATTTCCCACTGGGATAATGAAGCCTGTTCCATCCGATCCTTCTGCAGTTGCCAGGGGAAACGTGGAAAGCTCTGCTAATTAAAGGCACACTTTGCTGGATTTGTCACGTACTGTTTGTGAACACAACATTCAAACTTTGCCCCTCTTCCTCGGCTCAATGAGACTGAGAGTAGCGGTGGTCAAACAAGCTAGGAAGTGATTGAAGTGAATCAAAGAAATAAAACGTTATTTTCTGATTGTTTCACGGTGGTTACACTCTGAAGCACAAATAAACACACCCACACCTCCACACAGCCCTGCAGGAAGGTGCTGCATTGCCGGATTTTGTCTGAATTCAACTGATGTGCACGCTTGTGTGTGTGTGGCTCAACCTCGCCTTCGATCAGACAGACACACAAACCTGCAACTTGCACCCTCAGAGCAGAGAAAAGAAACGGCTGGTCGCTATGTTATTATAGAGTCTCAACCTCATGCTGCTGCTGGCTGGGGGTGACACACAGAAACATCCTGAACAAACTAAAATAAGAAGAAAGTACAGGCAGAGGGCAGGTTCTGCAGATACAGACACCACCACACACTGAGAGTGAGTCAGAAGTGATGATGAGGGAACATTTTTGTGTGAGTCGCTATACTGTTTTTTCCCTGCATAGTATGCCTTTAAGTCAACTAAACAAACAAAAAAATAGATCAAGATTTGATTTAAGAAACAAATTCACATAGTCACATAGTGGTCAAGACGATACTAAACAGCCAAAATTGTGGCTTGTTTTGTTGTTGTTTGGCTGTAACTTTTTTTGTGTTGCTGTCTTGGCCAGGTTGCCCTTGAAAAAGAGATTGTTGATCTCAACGGGACTTACCTGGTTAAACATGGGTTAAATGAAAAATAAATTAGAATAAAAATAATATCAAAATATTTTAGGGGATTTTTATGACAATGATATTCTTGATGATATGACAAAATACCAAAAAATATTTCTTATTAATTCCAAGAGCAAACAGTCACAACAAATTAAGTGTTATAATTGCGTATGTCAGCATAAATGTAACAGTTTGCCTTCAAATAGTCAGTAAAAACTAAAAAAATCTCACTTCTGTAGTTTGTAAACAGCAACAGGAACCTGTTTTTTAAAATCTTGAATATTTTTATTCGATTTCAACAGGATTACACAGTGCATAATCACAACAAATGTCAAACTTAAAGCATATGTATGAAGGGAACGAAGCATGAAACTCCATCACAATCCTCCCCATTCCCATTCACGCCTAATAACAGCCGGAATAACATCAACAGGACGGTCCTCCATCTCCTGAATAGTACAGAAAATGACAGATGAGCTGAAAGTAAGGCTCAGTATAAAAAGAGAGGGGGAGAGAAGCCTATGTAAAAGGCTTTATCAGAGTATACACTGACAGAAAGCACCAAGAACAAGAAACAAACACAAAATCTTCAGTCTAACTGACAGCTCTGGAAGTGTTTCAGAAAGGGGCCAGAAACCTGTTTGAATTATTTATTTGAGTTACAAATTGACTAGCGAATCTTTTTAAGATTAAGGCAGGACATGATGTCCCTCAGCCACTGGGCATGGGTGGGCGGGGCAGCATCCTTCCATCTGATTAGAACTGCAGCGAGGCAAAAGACAGTGTACGGCACTGGATTTGAGTCAGGTTTACATCATCCTCTCCCGTGGGCGACCAGAGGCTGGGTTGCAAGTCAAAGTTATGGATTGAGGATAAAGTTTGGAAAAAGTCCTTCCAGTATTTTTCAAGGCTCGGACATGTCTAATACATGTGAAAAAGAGAAGCCCCACCTCTTGAGCTTTTGTCACAACCAGGGTTCATATGAAACGTGAAAGTCTGACTTTAGACCAATAGGCTCTGTGCATGACCTTAATCTGCACTAGACAGTGGCGGGCACAAAGAGATGATGAATTTACCAGTTTGAAGACGGAGTCCTATAATGAGGTAACAAAAGTTGAAACTACACGTAGTGTAGTGTAAATTAAATCAACAGGCGAGTTCAGCCATTATTTTAAAGTTATGAAAAGCCAACTTATTTTCCTTCCTTTGTTTGTTGTTTGTTTTTGTTTGTTTGTTTGTTTGTTTTTTGGAAAAATCCCAAAATATCGAGTTGTTTTGTCCACCTGGACCTGTATGCTCTGCCATTTCTCCTCTACCCTTCACACTGTGTCACTCAGCGCTGACCATCAGACCCCTAGCACACACACCAACACACACACACACACACACAGACCTGCATTTATTTTGACAGGCTGTTGACTATCATACATTCGCACCTATTTTAAACTGCTATTATCGTGAAAGACATGATATGGCTCACCCATAATTTGCAATATTTTTCACTCTGTCTTACCTGAGTCCTGTCTCCATTATTTCAGCCATTATTCCCGGGTCCGCTGCCCACTCGTCGATCCCTCCAGAGAACCCTGTCGGATGAGAGTATTTACAGTGGGCAGAGGGAGCCGTCCTCCGGTGGACAGCGCGACACGCCTACTGACCTGCTGTTCAGCTGCTCTACAATGCCACGCTCACCCACCAGTCGTCACGGACCAAGCCGACGAGCATCACACAAATCCCTGGGTGAATGTTCAGTATTTATAGCTAATCATAGAGCAGGTGGCGGTGCTGTGGACCTTTTGTTTGTAGTTAGAACAAAAGTAATTAAGCAGGATAATGTGATTTGCAGTACATAGTAGGTAAGAATCTGAAAACAGGCCCTTCCAAAGGTTTGAAATATCAGTCTCAGTCTAAATGCAGCTGTTTGCTGCAAAATTTTCTCTATTTTTCTGCCAGGGGAGAACAGATTAAAATGCTGTCCACTGTGTTTTACTTTGCCATTTCTCCTTCCCAGGAGACCTGTCAGCCCCAGAGAGCTCTGAGCTGGAGCAGGAGAGGAAAAGGCAGCAGCTGCAGGACGCTGTCCTCATGCCCCTGCCTGACACTGGGGCAGATGGCCCACTGGACTGGGCCCACCTGGTAGACGCTGCCAAGGCCTTTGAGGGTAGGCACACATTGTGCTTTCATTTCCTCCTCAAAATCATTGGAAGTGAAGGTTAATTACAGATATTACTTTTCAGTGGTAGTTGTGGCAGAAAAACCCAACTGCCATCTTTGTTCTCACCAGGAGAGGGCACTGTGAGTCTGTATTTGCTCTCTCCAAGTCTAACAATGCGTCTTTTATCTGTTTTTTATTCAGAGCAGAGGCTGGTCTTCCTAGCGGCCCAAGAGGAGAGCTCCATGGCTGAGAGCGCAGCAGCCACCAGCCCCCAGCAGGCTGAGCCTCAGGCAGCCCCGCTGAGACAGCCCTCGCCTGGGTAAGAGGCCTCAGGTCATGGCCCGGGACCAGTGTTTACTTTAATCCGCTGGTGTCCAGCACTGTGCCATGGAAGACCCTGCAGATTTCACTCCAATGAAACACTGCTGCAGCTGATATCACTAATTAGTCTTTCACACTCTGGTCGACTGCATGCTAATATCAGCGACTACAATATTAGAAATGAAAGAAATTCTCCATTTTCACGAGACTTAAAAAAAGGCTACTTTTGCATGTGGTGCAGCTTTAATCACTGCTGCGCTCTGATGTTTCACTGTTTGTTCCAGCTAATGTCCTGGTTGTTCTTTTTCACAGAGAGACTCCAGCCTGCCTGATGGGGAAGGTCAGCCAGCTGGAGTCAATGGTGAAGGCGCTACAAGAGGACTTGAAGAAGGTCAGTCATCATCTTTAAATAAGAGTGTGAGCTTTAACAATAACACATAGACTTATACTGAAAATATGTGATATATCCAATCTGGTAATTGGTTTAACATGCAATGGCTGAGTAGATATCTCCCACTTGACCTTTAGCAAAATGCAGTGATGTTGGTTACAGCACTGATGCTCTCCCCTTTCTCAACCCCTGCGCTCGGTTCTCTCTGACACTGTAAGCATGAAGTGTGAGGAAAGTGTTTCCTCTGAAGATCTGAGCTTGAAGTTGGAAGATGGTGTCATTTTAATATTCTTAAACCTTTATTTAACCAGGTGAAGACACACTGAGGTTCAGTGCTTTATTGTACTTAATAAACATATGTATAGACCACAGCCAGTTTATTACCTATAGTAGATGGCAGTCCCAGTTTGGAGAGGTAGACAGAAGTACTGGGTCACAGAAGCTGAACAATGTACTGCTGTGGACGCCACGTTTGTTCAGTTCCAAAAGTCACACAGTAACACAAACTAAATGATTGAGGCAGCGGTGGACCAGACACTCCTGTGTTCTGTGAGGTAAAATTACTGTTTCTGTCAAAGGAGTCTGGTTGCAGTGGACGGGGCGGCAGCGAAATGTATTTTAGCCACCTAAAGAGAGGACCACCCTAAAAAATCAATATCAAGGGTACACTATATTTAAATCATTTCACCGCTTTAACTTGACATCAGACAGCCCTTTCTGAAGGAGAACTGAGGCTGTCATATCACCCTCTTCAAAGCCACCACACTCCATTGACAGAATACAGAACTGAACAGTAATTTTACCTCACAGCACACAGGAGTTGCTGGTTTCCCGCTGCCTCGATTGGTTAGCATGTTTGTGTTATTGTGTGATTTTCTGAACTGAAAAAATAATGAGGCGTTCATGGCTGTACGTGGGTTTATTTACAGCAACGCCATCATGCAGAAACCTACGTCAGATCATGTAGGAAGAAGGTTTTAGGTGAGGTAAATCATAATAATAGTATTAACATGAGAACTTGACAGATTCCAACCAGACCACTGTTAAATGTTTGCTCACAGTCCATAAAAGATGAGTGTCAAAATAATAATCTATATAAATATTTCCTCCAGCTGCACCATCACCATCGCCACATCCCCATCCACCCTCCTGCACTCATAACAATCCCAACAAGAGCTGTACACACTACCAACAACATGTCTATGTAGTTTGATTTTTTGAGTTTGAGTACATAAGGAAAGTCACTGGAAAGCTACAAAATGATATGAAAACCGAAAATAAATAAATAAATAAATAAATAATGGAGCCCCCCTTTAAGTTATAGACAGCTCTACTCAAAATAAAAGGAAAGACTTAATTACATCTTCATAGCTTGTTTTTAATTTCTTGTAATGCTGATCTTCAGACATATATAATTTGGAAGCTTTGAATAACTAGGGTCATCTTATTGATCATTTGTTCGGATCATCATGTTTGGCATGCATCCAACTGCAATCTTGCCACTCTTGTGTGCACAAGAGGACACTGTTAACACTTCATTTCAATGATGGGATCAGTAATATCAGTAATGGCTGTGTTTGATCTGACATGTTCAGCTTAAATCAGTTGCTACAGTTGTCAAGATGCCGTCTGTGCAGGCTGGCACGGCACTAATAAGAGAAAGAGCTTTTTGTAATTATCTGATCATCTAGAGATAACAAAGCTTGTTTACTCAAGATAACAAAACAATTATCTTGTTGTGAGATAACTGCGTTAAAAAAAAATAATTGGAAGCATGTCTGTTTTTGGCTTCTGTGATTTTGCCCTGAACCACTTTTATGAAATTCAATCACATCAGAAGGGAAGCCATAAGTCTGTTAAGCTAACAAGTTCCTTAAACACAAGGAAACAGACACTTAAAAATCTGTATGTCAAATGAAAGACTACATTGCTCACACATGTCTTTGTCTTCACCAGGAGAAGGATGCCAAGGCGTCACTGCAGGCCCAGATCCAGAGCCTGCGAGAGGACAACCAGCGTCTCCTGGAGGAGTCCTACAGCGCCTCAGCCAAGCTCAAGAAGTTCACAGAGTGGGTCTTCAACACCATCGACATGAACTGAAGCACAGAGCTGTAGACCGCTCTACATTAGGAGTATGACCACTACTCAAGCTGATCTGAAACTTGGCTGTTCAGCGCTGCACGCACACAACAGAATAACTTACACAAACTCACAACGTGGACTGTTTCTCTCGGGCTTTTACAAACCAGTGCCAACATGGAATTACATGTCATCCGTCTTCAGCCTTGTGGATCTGTGGTATAATCACCAGGAGAGACTTTTTTGGGGAATGAACAGGGGAACGGGAGAAAAATAGAGCAGTGGTGCTACCGTGTGTCCGTTTTGATCCGATCAGCATGCACTCCCTTCCTTAGAATCTCACAAGTGTGATGCTTCGTGTCCGACCTGATGGATTGTGGGTATCCCTGCATGTCAGAGACAGCGAGATATGGAAAACTAACCTAAAGGGATTTAAAGTCATCGTCCTCATTTAGCTCCCCAGCTAACCTACTTACAAGCGAACAGATTTCCAATTAAAAAGCTCCGGCGCTATTTAAAATCTGTTCCTCCCATGCAAAAAAATAAAGTGACAGTGTGTTGTAAATGAATTGCTGTTCCATTTTCCCCAGTTCAGTGATAACACTGATTATTTTTATTACTAACCAAGAAAAAAGAAGCTATATGAGACTGTTGGGAGATCCCCCATAGGATACTTGTTTGGTAGCAGTGTGTGTAGGTAGATACAGACAAACACACGGACAGACCTCCATGTAGCACATAAACACTGTAAGGTCAAGTCTGTATTGCCTATGTAATAACACATGTATCAAATAACTTTAGAGGGTTAAAAGCAAGTGCGACTTGTATAGAGGACTACTGGTCACAAGCTGATATAAAAAGAGTATATACTATAAAATCACAGAACAATATGGGTGCCGTAAAGATATAGATTGACGGTTCAGTGTCGCTTATTCAGATTATTGTAAATATACGATGTTAACATTTATTTTCTCACCTCTGCCCTTGGTATATGTAAAGAGTATTTATGACAAAGATAATGGCCAAGAAAATAAATATGCAGTTAGAGATCTGCATGTACTTCTATATGAGAGAAAAATATATAAATATGCTTTAAATCTTGACAGAGTTTTCAACGGGAGAACTTTTATCCAAAAAGCTAAGTCTTTAAAATTTATTTCCAGCCTAGCCTGCTGCAGTGGATTGATCGACAGCACCACCCAGTGTTGACAACATGTAAAACGCTACATGGAACCGACCCCCTCCTTCTTCCATTGCATGCCAAAAGGCCTCAATCTGATCCTTAAATCTCTCCATAGACTCAATCGGTACTATTAAATATATGAGTGAGATGTGAAAACCCTGAAACTCCAGCTACAGACTTCCTGTAGTGTGTAAATCTGCCTGTAAGCTCGACCTGAATTCGTTCTGTAGCTGACCACACGGAGTCCTTATTTAAGCCTCACACCTGTTTCCTTTTGTACTCAGATACTGTGCAACTGTATATACGGAGAATTTGATATTAATCAGAATTTGCACCTTCATTCTTATTTTTTAAGATTATGTTTTTTTGATGTATTTCTGCTTTATTGGCTTGGTTATAGTGGAGAGTGAAAGGAGTAATGTGAAAGATAAAGAGGGGAGACATTAGACAGGACAAAGACCACAAGAGTGACTCAGACGATTGAGTCCCAAACGACCCCCCGCCCCACCCCCAGCACAGCAGATCGCCCCTGCACCTTCATTCTTAACATGTGTGACAGCATGTGATTCTGTTTCCATTGAGCTGTGATGTGTAAAAAAAAAAGTTTATATCTATTAAAGATATTTTGTTGAATTACACTTGGTGTCACGGCGTAGTCTTTTAGCTTGGCGAAATGGGGAGAAGTCATTTCGCTGCTGCATGGGGCCGTTTGAGGTGACTTCCAGAGTAAATGGATACCTGTCAGAGGCCTGGCAGGAGGTGTCTGCCCGCTGCTGTATTGTGATTAACAGAGAGCTGCTGTTTTTCCACTTAGGCACGATTACACAAGGCAGTTGCCCCGATGGAGACGAGCCTCGATCAGACAGATTGATGGATGAGGATAACCTGAGAGACACCACACGGTGAAGGCGTGTACGGTTATGGATCCATGAAAGGACAAGGGTGTGATGTCATGCAGACTGATGGGTATACTGCTGCAAAGCTGTTTGTGGATATTTAATCAATTAGATTAAAGGATACACGTTTTTCAGTCTGTCTTAAAACAATATCGATGTGATCATATGGGCAGAGACGGGTGGCAAATCTATTAGAATCTTTGCCAAGTTTGCCAAGTCACCCACTGGTTTGTGGACTCCCAATCTGAAGCCTTGAGTTTGGCATTTCAGCTGTCGCCATCATGTTTTTTTTTTAGCCAGAAGTGACCATATTTGGACGAGAGACTGGTGCTGTGGAGGAGTGAGGGGTGGATCTGATTGAAAACCTAAGGACACTACCTGCAGACAGCCCGTCACTCAAAGTAGCCACACCCACCTACATTATGTGTAAGCCTGGATTTGTTTGTTTTGATGCATAGACAAAACATCAATATAAAATAGAAAAAAATGCAACTAAAAAAGCCTAGTCCTAATTAAACCAGTCCCATTTACTAGCCCAGTGTGGCAATGCCTGGTGTGGTTGCCAAGAAGTCAATTTCTATAGAAGTTCTTGGATGTATAAAACTGGGTTGTTGGCTACCTACTTGAGCTAATGTTAGTTAGCTGCTTCGATCACACATACAAATGTAACCATGAGCACCAAAGAAGATCGTAATTTATTCAGATTTACCCGCATGGTAAACAAGATAGGAGCTAGATCAACAGAATGATTCATAACTGATATGTTATTTGAAGCCTAATTTTTATACAAGTAACATTCATACTGGTTTATATAAACAATTTGATTGTATTTCCCATTTTTGCTGAGGAACAGTTTTGTTTAAAAGGAATTACAGGCCTGTCCTAAATATAAGCCTGTTGAGTTCAGTGACTAGGCTATTAATTGAAGTTTTACAGTATGTACAATTTACTCCACTTAAAGCCTGCGGGCTGATAGGGTGTCGGGTGCTCCCTCAACCATTTTCTAAGTCACAATGACAATAAAATAATTCATGCTGATGCTTTTATTGCTACTTTTTGTGCTTTTACGATAAATAAGACACCAGAGTGCATTAAAAAATATCCAAAAAGAGCTCGTTTAAATAAAAAAAATAAAGTGCCGGGGAGGATCCCCAGACCCCCCCAGCAGAGGTCCGGGCTCTGCCCCCAGAGTCCTCTAATCCTTGAACCGCCCCTGCATACACCTGCCCTGTGTGATGCTGCTGCTACTGTCCTCCTGGCGCTAAAATGGCCTCCATCCATGGCAAGGTAAGTTGGGTATATCTGTTGAAGGGGATGTGTAAAGGTTTACAGTATAGATAACAAAAAGAAGTCCTAGTTCTTAAAAAAAAAACAAAAAAAAAAACCCCTATATTATTAAGGAGAGGCTAATATGCGGCTAAAATGAGGTAAATTTAGGTTTGGTAAATTTGAGTGGGCGACCTCGTCTTTCCAGCAGTAAATGTCCTCTTCTGTTTCCACAGTGTTTCATTGATGAGCTGCAGTGGTGTGTACAGACGTGTCAGCAGCTCTGTGAGGCTGGACCAAGAGCTACAAGGTAAGTCAACATGCTAACATGCTAACTGTGAGCATGCTAACATACTAATGTTTAAACTGTAAATAGCCTGTTAGCATGCTAACTTCTGTCCGTTAGCTGTAAGTTAAACACAAAGCTGTTCTGAGGCATTGGGGCATAAAAGTTTTCAATTGCGACTTAATAATAGTCAAGATGAAATGTCAGTGTCATTAAAAGTTGTCCTCTGAGATATATCTGAAGCAAGTGTCATGGCAGTCATGATCCAACAGTTAATGAGATATGTCAGATGGCTGACATTAAGGGTGCTGTGTTCCCCAGATCAATGTGCTCTTTATATGACACATTAAGGAGACCTTTCAAAGGGTTTAATGTTGTCAGTTACAGTTCATAGCTTACTTGAAACCATCAGGTTTGTAGGCAAGACAGTTCTCTTGACTTTAACCATTGGATATCTCCATGGTGGCTTTAACAGATTTGTATCACTGAAACTGCATTTGAAACGTCCATTTCCCTTATTTTATAATATTTCATTTTATATGTGGGTATAATCCATATTGACTTGATAGCATCAGGCAAAACTGGACAATAGAAGATTGGAAAAACGTTGCCTGGTCTGATGAGTCTGGATTTCTGCTGCGACATTCAGATGATAGGGTCAGAATTTGGTGTAAACAACATGAAAGCATGGATCCATCCTGCCTTGTATCAACGGTTCAGGCTGGTGGTGGTGGTGTAATGGTGTGGGGGAGATTTTCTTGCCACACTTTGGTCCCCTTAGTACCAACTGTGCATGGTTTAAACACCACAGCCTACCTGAGTATTGTTGCTGACGGTGTCCGTCCCTTTATGACCACAGTGTACCCATCTTCTGATGGCTACTTCCAGCAGGATAACGCACCATGTCACAAAGCTCAGATCATCTCAAACTGGTTTCTTGAACATGACAGTGAGTTCACTGTACTCCAGTGGCCTCCACAGTCACCAGATCTCAATCCAATAGAGCACCTTTGGGATGTGGTGGCAACTGTGTGATGCTATCATGTCAATATGGACCAACATCTCTGAGGAATGTTTCCAGCACCTTGTTGAATCTATGACACCAAGAATTAAGGCAGTTCTGAAGGCAAAAGGGGTCCAACCTGGTACTAGCAAGGCAGGGCTGAGCAATGTGGAGAAAATCAAATATCACAATATTTTTTAACCAAGACCTGGATATTGATATCGTAGGACTGACTATTGGTGCTTTCACATTATAATTACATAATGAGATTTTTGATAAACACTCATCAGTAATGTAGATATAATGCCTAAGTGGTTATATCCAAAATCTAAGATAAAGTATAGTCTCATATTACAATATCAATATAATATTGACATACTGCCCAGCCCAAGTTCAATATATGTTTCCCTGAGTCAGTATGTTAAACTCACCCACTTTATAGCCCACTCATCCCTATAAACAGATATCTGCATTTGTATGCAGATTTTACTGTGAGACAATCACCCATGGGTTCTGAGATTGACAGCCTACTGATGTTACATCATTACTCTTTGAAACCTATGCTCTCAGATTCTCAGGCAAGACAGTTTTATTGACTTAAGACATTGATCTGTCCACAGTGGCAGAAGGGATTTCTACCATTTAAACTGCATTTGAAACATCACATCCCGTCACTTCTTTTTTACTGGCTATTTGAACTGCCAGGATAGCCTGTACCAATATCTTGTTGGTTTATAACAAGAGACACATGCTCAAAACTCAACGCTTGGGAACACGGGACCCTGGGGACATAGGGATGACCTCCTCTAGGGCCACCCTGCTAGCATGTTTGTTATCTTTGGAAGATACCAACTTGATTTGCATAACTCAGACTGCTGACACCCAGGGGTGTCATAGTGGGAGAAAAAGTGGGACTGATTACCCAGGGCCCCAATGGGAGGGTGGTCCTTGAAAAATCTGGAATGAAACATTTGGTATTTGCAGTTTTTATTGCCAAGTGATTTGTGTCATAACTTAATTAAAATTGGCTTAAAAATCAATTGAAAGACTGAAATGTGTATTAAAAATAGTGGCAGCTTTCTGAGGCCCCTCTCCCCCCTTGAAGACGCAAAATGCATTAGTCCGGCCCTGCAATAGGATTCATCTCTGAACGCAGCTATAGCCAAGTAATGTTCATTAAGCTGTTGGAGCACCAACATACGCTGTTGTGTCTTTACCCAAAAACAAAAATCGGGGTTCCAAAAGAGAAAAGAAAAGAAATCAAACTGACTTGTAAAAATAAAAATTCAAAAGGTGTGTGAGAGAGACATGGATAAAGAGAGGAGGTGTGGCGGGGCCCACAGAGACTGCTTATGCACAGGGCTCAGAATTTGGTGCTACACCCCTGCTGACTCCCCTTACTTGCTGTAGCTGAACTTCAGAGTGCATTCTGCATTGAAAAACCCCATCTCCTACCTTAAAAATGCATCAGGAGGGATCTCTGCACGGCCTGCATGGAGAGAAGGAGTGATTAGAATGATCTCTTTCAGTGCACATAGAGGCATATGACTATTGTTCTAGATAGATCCCTTAAATATCTTCTTTCAAACTTCAGTGTCTCCATACGTGGCCGGCAGTGTTGCTCTCTGGCAGTGGTGTGGCTGTGAACAGGCTGCTCAATAATTTAGCATTAATGCAGATTATAGCAGGGCTGGCCCCCTTAAAGCAGATTAGAGGAGTCCTTGTCTGTCTGTCTGTCTGTCTGTCTGTCTGTCTGTCTACCCGCCTGCCTGTCTGTCACCTTGTTAATGATGGCACTCCTTAATGCCGGAGCAGCTCATGGGACAGGAAGATGAGCTGATGGCGGTTTACTGCCGTGCAGGTCATGTGTGTGGCTTGTAATCAGAAGGGATGGGCGCTGATGTCATGTGCTATAGTATGGTAGATGTGCAGAGAAGTGTGTGAGCGCTTGTGATAGCAGAGCTCTAATAATACGGGGGATGGGGGGTGTAATATACCTGTTCTCTTCCTGCCGAAAGAGAAATGTGTAGGGTAAGCACCGTGGGCCGATGAATGGTTTCGCACTCTAATAGGTGCAACACTCACGCGGGTGTGTGACCTCAGTTTCCCTTGGTTACCACATTTACTGAGAACAGCAATTTTGAGTTGTTTCAGTTTTCCAACTTCATCTGCTTTTGGCCTGAAGGA